AAAAACAGAATATAGCATTCGATGTTTGCTGCATTAATCAATAAAAAAGACAGAATATAGCGATAGGTGGATGCTACATGAATAGCCAAAAAAAATACTGAACTGCTCTAACTCTCGCATATTAGTCGGAAAATTAGCAAGACGGTAGCGCTTGATCTGTACTAAGCATAAATCGGCAAGAGAGACAGACTGAACCCTTCGATCGCTACTGCATGTATCAGCGAAAAAGACAGGATGTAGCACTGAATCTGTACTGACTAAATCAGCGAAATGGAAAAACTGAAGTGCTCTTACTCTGCCACATAGATTGACAAAAATGCCAAATGGTATCACTCGATCTGTACTGCACAAAAATCGTCAAAAAAAAGGCTTAAGCGCTCGATCTCTGGGTCACAAATAGGCAAAAGAGACAGAATATAGCGTTCAATCTTTGCTGAATTGATCGGCAAAAGGAACAGACGGTAGCACTTGATCTGTGCTGCGCGTGATTCAGCAGATGGAAAAGGTTGAAGTGCTCAGTCTCTGTTGCACAAGTAGGCGAGAGAGACAGGATGTAGCATTCGATCTCTACTGCATTGATCAGAAAAAAAGACAGGATGTAGCGCTCATTTCCTTCTGCATTGATTGGTGGAAGAGCCAGGATGTAGCACTGGATCTCTGCTGTCTAAATCAGCGAAATAGAAAAGCTGAAGTGCTCTTATTTTGCCACATAAATTAGCAAAAAAGCCAGACGGTAGAGTTTGATCTGTACTGCGCATAAATTGGCAAAAGAAAGAGGCTAAGACGCTTGACCGCCGCTGCATGGATTAGCCGAAACGACAGCATGTAGCGCTCTATTTATGCTACATAAATTGAGAAAAAAGAGAGGACTGCGATGATCGATCTCTGCTGCATTGGTTAGCGAAAGAGACAGGGTGTAACACTTGATCTTTACTACATGAATCAGCGAAAAAGAGATGACTGTGGCGATCAATTTCTGCTGCATTGATCAGCGAATGAGATAGACGGTACCGCTCAATCTGTGCTGAGCATTTATTTAAAAAAAAGAAAGTCTGAAGCACTTAAACTCTGTTGCACAAATAGGCAAAAGAGATAGAATGTAGCGGTCAATCTCTGCTGCACTGATAGGCAAAACAAACAGGATGCAGCACTGGATCTGTGCTACATAAATCAGTGAAAAAGAAAAGCTGAAGTGCTCTTTCTCTGCCACATGATTTGGTGAAAGAGACACGATGTAGCACTCTTTTTCTACTGCATTCATCGACAAAATAGACAGAATGTAGCGCTTGGTCTGTGCTACCTAAAACGTTGAAGAAGAAAAACTAAAGTGCTTTTACTGTGGCAGATGAATCGGTGAAAGAGACAAAATGTACTGCTCGATCTATGCTACATGAATTGGCAAAAGAGACAGGACTTTGGCGATTGATCTCTGCTGCATAGATAGAAGTGAGAGAGGCTGCAGCGTTTAATCTGTGGTTCCTAAAGCGGCGAAATAAGAGAGCTTAGGTGCTCTTACTCTGATTTATGGATCGACGAAGAAGCCAGACGGTAGCACTTAATCTTTGCTGCATGGATTGGCAAAAGAGACAGACGGTAGCGCTCGATCTGTACTGCGCATGAATCAGCAAAGAGAGAAGCTGTAAAGCTCGATTGCTGCTGGATTGATCGGCAAAAGATACAGAATGTAGCGCTCAAACTATGCTGCATTGATCGGTAAAAGAGACAGGATGTAGTGCCAGATCTGCGCTAAGAAAATCGACAAAAAAAAATTGAAGGGCTCTAACTGTGCAACATGAGTTGGCGAAAATGCTGAACGGTGGTGCTCGATTTGCTCTGCGCATAAATTGGCAAAAGAGAGAGGCTTAAGCGCTCAATCTATGCTACATGAATCAGCGAAAGAGAAAGAACTGTGGCGATTAATTACTGCTGCATTAATAGAAGAAAGAGGTTGTAGCATTCCATCTGTGCTCCCTAAATTGGCAAAATAGAAAAGCTGAAAGCTCTTATTCTGCTACAAAAATTGGCGAAAAAGCCAGACGGTAGCGCTCAATCTCTGCTTTATGGATCAGCGAAAGATATAGACGGTAGAGCTCGATCTGTGATGCGCATGAATCAGCAAAAGAGAGAGGCTGAAGCGCTCGATCTCTAATGCACAAATAGACGAAAATACAGGATGTAGCGCTCGATCTTTGCTGCATTAATCAGCGAAAGATGCAGACGGTACTTATCGATCTATGCTGCACATCAATCGTTAAAAGAGAAAGGCTAAAGCACTTAAACTCTGTAGCACAAATAGGCGAAAGAGACAGAATTTCGCGTTAATTATGTGCTACGTGAGTCATCGGGAGCGACAGGATGCAGCATTCATTCACTGCTGCGTCGATTGGCGAAAGAGACAGACTGTAGTACGTGATCTGTGCTGCAAGGATTGGCAAAAGAGACAGGATATAGCGCTGGATCTGTACTACTGAAACCGGTGAAAAAGAAAAGCTACAGTTCTCTTACTCTGCCACATGGATCGGCAAAAGAGTAAGAAATTCCGCAATTAATCTCTGCTTCATGAATCGGAGAAGAAGGGGCTGTAGTTTTTGATCTGTGCTACATGAATTGGCGAAAGAGACAAGACTGTGGCCATTGATCACTGTTTCATAAATAAGAGACAGAGAGAGGCTGTAGCATTTAATCTGTGCTACTAAAACCGGTGAAATAAAACAGCTGAAGTGCTCGTATTCTGCCAAACGAATTAGTAAAAAAGCCGACAGTAGCATTCGATCGCTGCTGCACTGATCGGCGAAAGAGACAGAATTCAGCGCTTGATCTATGCTACATAAATCGACGAAAGAAACAGGACTGTGGCGATTGATCTCTGCTGCAGTAATAGGAGAGAGAGAGGCTGTAGCGTTCAATCCATGCTACGTAAATCGGTGAAATAGAAAAGCTAAAGTGCTCTTACTCTGCCACATGAGTCGGTGACAGAGACAGACGGTAGCACTTGATCTGTGATGCATAAATTGGCAGAAGAGAGAGGCTGTAGCGCTCGATCTTTGCAGTGAATGTGTGTATGTTTTACCGACCTTTGTTGCTTTGAGCTTCAGTTTAGCTTCAGCTTAGCTTTAATTTTCTTCACCAATCCATGCAGTAGAAGCAGTGCTATAGTTTGTCTGTTTTGACGATCTGTGCAGCAGAGGTATTCGATGTTTTATAGAATTAAAATAGTACATATGAGCGTAAATGCAAGGAGTCTTGGATCTTTTAAAAAAATTTCCTACCAAATATAACAACTTTTGCCTTTCAGTGAAAAATGCCAAGCGCTGAATAAGGACATTTGATGGAGAGTTATGTTAGCTTTATTATTAATTTTTTATTCTTTACTGGCATAAATAATAATTAACGAAGTGCCTTCAATTGTGAATACGGGGGGGGGTTTATTTGTTTTTGTTTCGATGAAGTACACTGTGGTTTGTTGAAAAATCTTGTTGTCAGCAATTTTTTCCCCATTCTTTAATGACTTCGTTGATGCATCATTCTGAAGTATTAGGATAGGTGCGTAAAAAATATTGTTACTGTCCGACTTAACATTGCTGTTGGGAACAGCTTTAACATTGTAGAAAGTTTCTTCTTTGTCAGCAACTTCTTAGATAAATAGATCTGAAAAAACTATTTTTTAGTACACAATTTTGCTGTATAACATGGAGAATAGTCATATTATTTATTATTTAAATATGCCATTATACTAGCAAGTGTTGGCAATTAGTGAACTAACTGTTTTTTAGTATAGCAAATTAAGAAAGTATATCCTTGAGTCCACAAGCATCGGCGATAAGCAACCTAACTGTTTTTAGGCATAACTTATAAATGAAATATGCCCTTCGGCAAGGAAGCATCAGTGATAAGCAACTTAACTAATTTTGAGTATGGATAGTTAAATTTTACTCATTCTATTCTTTTGTTCGAGTACATACCTTCATCTATTTGGCCTTCAAATAAAGATCGGTCGTCCAGGAAAGTTGCAACGAACCACTCTTTAGAGTCTAGTTTGTCCCATGCAGCCATTAGACTGCTTTCTTTCTCTAAAGATGGTTTTCTAGGAGTTCCAATAAGTTTCTGAGAAATCAGAAATTCTTCATAGTCTACCCTTTTTCACTTGGACGTAGTAAGTTAACACGTCTAAAAAAAAAAGAAATTCACGTATTTATTATGTAAAATAGAAAATTATTTTTTTTTTCTAAGAATGAGTTTAAAGCTCATAAGGACATAAAAAATTTTATCTCTCACACCTATGATGCACACCCAAGTGGTGTTTGCCCTGGTTACATGCGTCATTAGTTACAAAAATAATTATTTGTCCCTACTGGGGTAACTCTGCTAGATTAAGACTTATTAGCTAGAGTGTTTGGAACTTTGTACCTAATGGCAGAAAATATTGGATGAAGTACGTACCCATAAAATGTGTTGGTGATGGTGTGGTCACCATCAATCTAGTGAGCACCCTATGGTACGCTTTCAGAAAATTATTGGTGTGCAATAATTTTCGATATACCGATATAATGCTGACACCCATTTTGTTAATCCACTGTTGTCCAAAATATTGCCGAAATTCTTTAAACTCCAGCAGAAATTTCTTGCGACATTCCTCACTGAGGATGGCAAACCCTTTCTTGATTACTTCAGGTGGCAGAAGTCCTTACGCTACACACTTCTTAAATAGTATGTGCTTTTGTGGGTTGTCACGTTTGTTGTACTTTGCAGCGATATGCTTGTTATTGGCATTTTTCCGCAGAGCCTATTTTATAGAAATAATTAATACGCATATAATACAATGACTTTAGTGGTTACTAACTACTATTTTGAGAAATAATGGTTTTAGTTTCGATGCTATGAAGTTATAATTTCATATTACTATTTTCTTGTCATAGTATAACATTTAATCATTTTTTCTCAAACAAATCTAACTATTGTAATACACTAACGAAAACATAAAAATTACGTACATGTGCTAGGTGAAAGTAATTTCTACATATATCTACTCCAAATACCATTCTCATAGCATTTTGCATCCCAACTTCAAAGTCTGTAATACCAGATGAAAGAACAAGCAGCGAGAATTCTTTTTGGAAAGCTGCAAATACTGATTGATAGGCTGTTTCTGTTTCTGACGTCATAAAAGCAAATGCGATCGGGTAAGCCTACAAGAGCATTATTATTATTCTTTATCAAAAGACCTTAATATATTTAAGAATTTATAACATGTCAATATTTCTGTAAAAAGCGACAAAACCATGTAATACAAGAAACCGAATGACACTAAAATTTGGAACGTTCGGGGGCTAAAATTTAAAAATTGAAATAAACACTTTGAAAGCAGCCAGATATGTCGCAAAATTATAATGTATTAACCCCCCTCCCATTCTCGTATGTACCTATGCTAGCTTTAATCAATTGGATTATTAACAAATACCAATATACTGCAAAAGCACCTCTGAAAATTATAGAGATTGTTTATCGTCATGTAAACAATGTATTCAAATTAAAATATCCCAAAAAAAAGGAGGGGTGAGTGACTTAATACCAATTTATACCTCGATAGCGATAAGTATGTGTATGCACAGACAATCATAAGATAAAGTAAAAAAAAATTATGTAATGAAAAACTCAAAGTTTGAAAACTATTATATTAGTAACAATCAAAAATTTTATACACTTCAATAAGTAGTTTTTAAATTTAAAGTAACGATACAAAGACACACACACACACTTACACATGTACACATACACACCAATATATACAAACGGTAAAGAAAATTATGCTTACCATGTCGACAATGTAAACCATCAACGTTACAAATTGAGTTACTCCCTTTATTTAAGGCACGATCCCGAAAGTAACATCACAACATAGTATTAACAGCTTGTCAAAAAACGATTGTATAAATTGTCTATCAAAGAAAAGTAGGTGAGTCTTGCTGTGCTGATCACTTCTCATTTGGGACTCCCATACGATCGCTTCTTCTTCCTATCTGTATAAAATACATCCTTTAATAAATTTCTTATGTAGAGGCTGCAGATCACTAATATTCGAAATATTTTGTATCAAGAAAGCCTTCGCTTTTAATCTGAATAAGTGCGGCTCCATAGAAGAAAAGTTAATTTTCTTCCCAACACTGGGTGTACTAAAATTTTAAAAACAAAAGACTGTGAAAGAAACTTTGACACTACGTATACCATAGTTTTATGAAAAAAATACTCATTAATCATAACTCGAGGTTGCCACAACCAACTGTATCTTTCTACTGTACCGTATTAACAATTGTTTAAATAATATGACATTACTCAAGCGGTTCTGATATCATCAAACGCCTTCTTCACACTGCCAGCGCCTGGTTTCTGTACAGCTTCACGTAATCTTTTTTTCATTTTTTTATCATTGGTACATCTGGTCCAGCAGCGTGATTATGCGTTTAAGAAATCACGAACGATCCATTAAGAATTAGAGTAGCCTTGGCATGACACCTTTTGCTTGGTACCTTGAATCTAGACCTGCAGCACTGAAGGGATCTGCACACAAAGGCAAATTTTTTTTTTTTTTTTTTATGTTAAAGTATAATCAACACTTATGCAATATAACACTATGACATAAAAGTATTCCTAGCTTGCGAAAACAAAAACTGAGAAACTGCCTTTTTCCAGATGGGTAAACTTTTTTTGAGTGATAGTAAAATCCTGTCTTTTCATCGAAAAGTCCTCCTCCCTGTAAACTCATACTTCTGTCTTTCTAAACTATTATTATTCACCGTATTATTACAAAACAGTACAGCATGTAAAAGCGATCTTATCGACTAAGAGCTCTGCATGCAACTGAAATACATCACTAATAGCACTGATCAGAACTCTGAAAAACGTAAACATGTAAAACACCAAATTGCACGTGCATAGCAACGCTTCAGTTTTGCAGAAAAAGACGCCACTGTGCCACCGTGTATCGTGAGGGCATGGTCTGTGTGTGTATAGTCAAGCAACGCTACACGCGCATCGGCAGAAGCTATAGCCCGAAAACACAAAGACTCGTGGGCAACGAAAACAATGCTGAAAAAATGATATACGCAATCAGCAACTAAAAATGTACCACAAATTTTTTTAATGGAGACGTAATACAAACTCGTTGGTCCCACTCGTGCATTTCTATATTCATTATAAGTACATAATAATTCTAAGAATATATTCCAAAAATTAGAATGGTATTTTTCAAAGCTAGTGTGATAGAATTATCTGTAATGTCAGTCATTATTCATAAAATTCAGACTAGCTCAAGAAAAAATATATGGCAGAGAATTTAACAATACCAATCGAATGTAATAAAATCTAAAAAAAAAAAATTTTTTCCGCTTAGGCGTCAAAAAATGGCATTAATAGTAAAATACAAATTTGAACGTTGGTAAGCCTTAAAAAAAAAAAAAAATAGAAGTATACGTGGTAAAAATACGAACAAACTGTAGGCTGATTGATCATAATTAGTTCAGTGGTTTTCTCACAAAGTACAAAAAACATCGTATTTTAAATTAATATTTAAAAATTAAAACTCTTTTTTGCAAAAAAAAGGTTAAGAACAAAAATTTAGCAAAGTCTAGCTGTAGTAATGTTCAATAACCACACCGAATTTCAGAACGACCGGACAAACAAGTTCTGCAAACCACAGCTAAATGCAAAATGAGGTTCTTTGTCAAAACGACCAAAAATTTGTTTACAACGTTAAATTTGCAATCATTTTGCGGAATCATGTTCTTTAATACTTACTTCTAAACTTACCAAAAAATCGAATTTGTTTGCAGTGTGGAAGTTGCTTAATAAATAATGAACCAACTGGGTTATTCTTGTGCACCGCAGTACAGCGTGTAAATAGCGATGAGCCACCATAGCTCTCGAGGACCAGTGTTTTCGGGCCCCAGGGAAAAAAGTGTTTATATTAAGTAGACAATTTTTTGTAAGAGTTCCGAGACTCCTCGCATTTACGCTCTCATATGTTTCTTTAATTCGATGAAATGTCAAGTACCTTCAATGCATACTTCAACGAAAAAAAAAAAAAAAGATTGTAAAGCACAATTTCTGCTGCGTATATCAGTGAAAAAAACGTAAACTGAGCTAAAACTTTAACGTAGCACAGATCTAGCACTACATCCTCTCTCTCTGCTATTAATGTAGCAGGGATCAATCGCCACATTTCTATCTCTTTTACCGATCAATGCAGCAGATATCAAGAGCTACACCCCATCCATTTCACCGATTAATATAGCAGAGTAAAAGCACTTCAGGTTTTTCGCTTTCACAAATTTGGGTAGCACACATCTATCGCTACATCCTGTCTCTTTTGCCGATCAATGCAGCAGAGATCGAGCGCTACATCCTGTCTCTTTCGCTGATTCATGTGGTAGAGTAAAAGCACTTCAGCTTTTCTCTTTTGCCAATTAAGGTAGCATAAATTCAGCGATACATTCTGTCTCTTTTGCCAATTTGTGCAACAGAGATCGAACACTAAATCCTGTCTCTTTTACTGATTAATGCAGTAGAGGTCAAGCGCTAAATTCTGTCTCTTTCGCCTATTTGTTCAGCAGAGATCAATCGCCACAGTCCTGTCTCTTGCGCCGATTCATGCGCAGCACAGATCAAGTGCTACCGTCTGTCTCTTTCGCCGATAAATGCAGCAGAGATCGATGTCTACACCCTGTACTTTTCGCCGATCTATACAGCAGCGATTGATCGCATCAGCCTCTCTCTTTTGCCAATTCATGCGCAGTATTGATCTAGTGCTACCATCTGTTTCTTTCACCGATCCATGTAGCAGAGATTGAGCGCTACCATCTGGCTTTTTCGTCGATTTATACAGCAGAGTAAGAGCACTTTAGGTTTTCTATTTCGCCGATTTAGGTAGCACGGATTGAACGGTACAGCCTCTCTCCCTGCTATTTATGCAGCAGAGATCAATCGCCATAATCCTGTCTCTTTCGCCGATTCATGTAGCATAGATCGAGCGCTACATCCCGTCTTTTTTACTGATCCATGCAGCAGCAATCGAGCGCTTTAGCTTCTGTCTTTTACTGATTCATGCGCAGTACAGATTGAGTGCTATCGTCTGGCTTTTTTGCGGACTCATGTGGCAGAGTTAGCAGAGTTAGAGCACTCCAGCCTTTCTCTTTCGTCAATTTAGGTAGTACAAATCGTGCGTTACCGTCTGTCTCTTCCACTGATTAATGCAGCAGAGATCGAGCGCTACATCCTGTCTCTGTCACATATTTGTAGAACAGAGATCGAGCGCTTTAGCCTCTTTTTTGGCTGATTAATGCGCACCACAGATCGAGCTCTACCGTCTTGTCAACTGATTGTTGTCTTAACCGTTGTTGTCTTATCGACTGACATAATGTATCATCTTCCTTTTTGAATAAGTCCCCCGAAATTTACTAATGGTAGAAAGAAACATGTCTTACTATTGTTTTTATTTAAAAATGATGGCAGAGAAGTTTGGCAGTGTTTTGAATATTAATCAAGCTCAATTTTCAGTACATAACATTGTGTGCGTTTAAATTATGCAAATCTGGTATACATGTGTAATAATGTCCGCAAGTGGAAAAGCAATTTTGTGTGCATAAATATAGAATTAAATTTATCAGTGTAAGGTGTGTTAAAATATTGCCCTTGAATTCAGGTGATATGTTATTTCAAGAGATAAGTTTTAGTTGAAACAATTGTTCGAAACAACATTGTTGTTTCTGGTTTTTGGCCTGATAAAACAATACCCAAGTTGGGCGTGATTTACATTAACGTTATTCAATTAATTAAATGTAAATCCCGATTTTGTTGTTAAATAAATCTTAAATTAATTAGCAGGCATGTGAATCTAATGCTTGTTGGTAAATTAGAATTCAATACGTCCAATAGGTATACAAGCGAACGTTGATACACTTTAATCATTGTATCAATAGGCGCAAATGCATAGATAGCGGTACTATTTATACAAGCACTCTCTATTACCATCCATACATGCCCTTTCTCAATATATAAGATATAGAAAATACTTAATAATACAGATCCACATAATTTCTTTTTCAAGAAATTTTCCTTTGGAGAAATAATTACAATTAAGAACGAGAAAAAATCCTCCCCGGGTGCGGATCGAACACACAACCTCCTG